GCCAGACTTTTAGGCAAAAAAAGAAAGGCTGCAAGCTTAAATCTTGCAGTGCCTTGGTTTATACTATTAATGTTGAAAAATTTCAGTTGTATAAATTGAATGGAAAGATGACTAAATAACAGCTACCAACTGTGACCAGCAATAACAACTGAGTTTAAATAATTCTAATTAAAAAAATTGTTTATTGATTCAGATATTGATCCTATTGTAATGACTTTAGACTGCTCTTAACTTAGAACTTGAAATTCTGGCTTAAATGTAATCATCATCATTGATTATAGTCTTACATTATTTTTTTAATATAGTTTATCAATGACATGTTGGGAATTAGCTTGGCTGCCATGTCCTTCATTTTCTTTCATTAATTTTAGTAGCAGAAAGTAGCTCAACTACTTGTTGATGGTTATTTTTACTAGCTATCATGAGTGCTGTACTACTGAATGTTAGGATCAGCCTTTTCATTAAGGAGTAACTCAACCACTTGTTGATGACCATTTTCACTAGCTGACATGAGTGCTGTACTGCCATTATTCTTTTGAATGTTAGGATCAGCCTTTTCATTAAGGAGTAATTCAACCACTTGTTGATAACTTTTATACTAGCTAACATGAGTGCTGTACTGCCATCATTTTCTTGAATATTAAGATCAACTTTATCATTATCATTAAGGAGTACCTCAACCACTTGTTGATGACCATTTAGACTAGCTATCATGAGTGCTGTCCAGCCACTATTGTTTGCATGTTGGGATCAACCTTTTCATTAAGGAGTAACTCAACCACTTGTTGATGGCCTTTTTTTATAGCTATCATGAGTGCTGTCCAGCCATCATTGTCTTGAATGTTAGGATCAGCCTTTTCATTAAGGAGTAACTCAATCACTTGTTGATGACCATCTAGACTAGTTAACATAAGTGCTGTACTGCCAGTATTCTTTTGAATGTTAGGATCAGCCTTTTCATTAAGGAGTAACTCAATGACTTGTTGACGACTATTTAGACTAGCTATCATGAGTGCTGTCCAGCCACTATTGTCTTGCATGTTGGGATCAGCCTTTTCATTAAGGAGTAACTCAACCACTTGTTGATGACCTTTTTTACTAGCTAACATCAGTGCTGTCCAGCCATCGTTGTCTTGAATGCTAGGATCAGCCTTTTCATTTAGGAGTAACTCAACCACTTGTTGATGACCATTTATAAGTGACTAGCTGACATGATTGCTGTCCAGCCATCATTGTCTTGAATGTTAGGATCAGCCTTTTCATTAAGATGACCATTTTGACTAGCTATCATGAGTGCTGTTGTGCCACTATTCTTTTGAATGTTAGGATCAACCTTTTCATTTAGGAGTAGCTCAACCTCTTGTTTATGATCATTTTGACTAGCTGACATGAGTGCTGTCCAGCCACTATTTTTTTGAATGTTAGGATCAGCCATTTTATTTAGGAGCAACTCAACCACTTGTTGATGACCATTTTTACTAGCTGACATGATTGCTGTCCAGCCATCATTGTCTTGAATATTAGGATCAGCCTTTTTATTAAGGAGTAACTCAACCACTTGTTGATGACCATTTTGACTAGCTGACATGAGTGCTGTCCAGCCACTATTCTTTTGAATGTTAGGATCAGCCTTTTCATTAAGGAGTAACTCAACCACTTGTTGATGACCATTTTCACTAGCTAACATGAGTGCTGTTGTGCCATTTTTCTTTTGAATGTTAGGATCAGCCTTTTCATTAAGGAGTAACTCAACCACTTGTTGATGACCATTTTGACTAGCTAACATGAGTGCTGTCCAACCATCATTGTGTTGAATGTTAGGATTAGCCTTTTCATTAATGAGTAACTCAACCACTTGTTGATGACCATTTTCACTAGCTAACATGAGTGCTGTTGTGCCATTTTTCTTTTGAATGTTAGGATCACCCTTTTCATTTAGGAGTAACTCAACCACTTGTTGATGACCATTTTGACTAGCTGACATGAGTGCTGTCCAGCCACTATTCTTTTGAATGTTAGGATCAGCCTTTTCATTAAGGAGTAACTCAACTACTTGTTGATAACCATTTTGACTAGCTAACATGAGTGCTGTTGTGCCATTTTTCTTTTGAATGTTAGGATCAGCCTTTTCATTAAGGAGTAACTCAACCACTTGTTGATGACCATTTTGACTAGCTAACATGAGTGCTGTCCAACCATCATTGTGTTGAATGTTAGGATTAGCCTTTTCATTAATGAGTAACTCAACCACTTGTTGATGACCATTTTGACTAGCTGACATGAGTGCTGTCCAGCCACTATTCTTTTGAATGTTAGGATCACCCTTTTCATTTAGGAGTAACTCAACCACTTGTTGATGACCATTTTGACTAGCTAACATGAGGGCTGTCCAGCCATTATTGTCTTGAATGTTAGGATCAGCCCTTTCATTAAGGAGTAACTCAGCCACTTGTTGATGACCATTTTGACTAGCTGACATGAGTGCTGTCCTGCCATCATTGTCTTGAGTATTTGGGTTGATTTTTTTTTGAAAGAATTCTAAAACTATTTCAATAAATCCCCTTTGAGCAGCTAGTGTGAATACCTTTTTGCACAAATTATCAGGATATTTGCTAATAAGTATCTCTGTGATGCTATCAATATGATTTTGATGAAAGTGTAATGTTATTAGTATATTTTCCATGCTTTTAGTGATAATAGCATCACTACAAGATTCTATTTTGAAAATAAATTCTATTACTTCAGCTTGTTTTGCTTGTGCTGCCTCTAATAAAGCAGTATCAAAGTTAAAGAACTCATCACTATTATTATGAATAATAATTACACCATTAATGCATAGCTCATAGACTCCAATGTATTTCATGAATGCTAACTTTTTTCTGTTACATAAAATAAGGTCTTCTATTTCTTTTGGTGATTCAGTCATAAAGTATGTAATGTGAACTGAAGAGCATGTGATGTTTATTGCTTTGGTTAGGGCCAAGTGGTCACATGTAGGAAAGAAGCATTTGATGAGAGTGAACAGATTTTGAAGTGGGGGATCCT